GTGGGACCTCCTTGCTCTAGGAATTCGCTGAGCATCATATCTTTCTTCCATCGCTTTCATGAAGAAATCGGACCAACGGGTCAGTGGTCTTCCTTTAGAGCGCTTGATGTCCCGAGGAATCCAGTCGGTAACGGCTCTCGTCCATCGGTTGTCGTTGAAGCGCATCACGTGTCCGGCCCACCTTATTTTCGATATCCTGGCGTGTAGAACGGCGTCTCTGATTTTCGTTCGTTGACGTAGGTCGGAAGTTCGGATCCTTTGTCTCATTTGCGAAATACGAGATACTCCTAGCATCGACCTTTCGACTGCGCGTTCGATAACGGCAAGTGATCTTTCATCCTGCTTACGTAGCGACCAGGTTTCTGCTGCATACGTTAGGGCAGGGATAATTGTCGAGTCGAAAAGGTGGGCACGGAGTCGGATGTTCTTTGTCCTCTTCACTACATCTTCGATGCTCTTAAACGTTCCCCAAGCCGCTCGTTTCCTCCTGCTCAACTCTGGGGCTAGGTCGTTCATCATGTTGATTTCACGACCTAGATAGATGTAACTGGAGCATTCGGAAATTGTCGTTCCGTTGAGCGTGAATGGGGCATTAGAAACCCATCCGTTCCTCATGAACATTGTTTTCGTTAGATTCAGTTGAAGACCGATCTTTCCACAGGCGTTATCGAAATCAGTCAACATTCGTTCCGCTTGGCTGATGTTGGGTGTTATGAGAACGATATCGTCAGCAAAGCGAAGATGGTTTAATTGTCGACCGTCAATTTTCACTCCCATTTCGTCCCATTCTAATGTTCGCATGACGTTTTGTAGGGTGGCAGTGAATAGTTTTGGCGATATTGTATCGCCTTGTCGAACCCCTCTTCTTACGTCAATGGTGATGTTGTTGTAGAATGGAGATATTCTGGTCGTGAAATCTTTATAAAGCTCACGAAGGATCATTATGTACCGAGTAGGGACGCCCTGGTTATCCAGAGCCTCTATAACCGCTTCTGCTTCCACTGAATCAAAGGCTTTTTTTAGATCGATAAAAGTGAGACAGAGTGGTTGTTTGTACTCTCGCGAAACTTCAATGAGTCTTGTGATCGTGTGGATGTGGTCCATGGTACTAAATCCTTTTCTGAACCCTGCTTGTTCGCATGGCTGTCCTTCGTCCAGTGTTCTGTCAATCCTGTTCAGGATGACTCGAGTAAAGAGTTTATAGACAACGGACAGCAAGCAGATTGGGCGATAATTGCCTATGTCGTGAAGGTCTCCCTTTTTGAACAACAATACGGTCTTGCTGGTTTTCCATTGAATAGGGACCTTGCATTTTGACAGGTAGCGAGTGAAGAGCCGAGCCAGGGTGTTGATGAGAACTGGCGGCAGGTTCTTCAGGTGTTCTGGTCTAATCCTGTCTGGACCGGGTGTTGTTCTGTTTTTCACCGACGATATAATTGTATTTGTATAATTATGATAAACTCAAGCGTATGGTAGCATTCGGCCGCTGTGCTTCGAAAATATGGTACAGTTGTGTTATCGAGATGCAAAATCAACTCTTCGAAAACGACCTTTTTCCATTTTTTCTCCAGACTTCTAGCAATCATTCGATACGCAGATCTTTGCGACTCAATACTACAATTTTATCTAACATGCCTTTAAACGCGCAATTGCAGCGAAAATAAGATCACTTTTGCAGCATTGATGAACCTGATGAACGAAGCATGCGCGGAGGGTGAAACCTAATTTTTATTCTTCGACCCAGCGTATGAGAAAGGCCTTTTTAGGAAACAAGCTCGGGATAGCCGAGTTTAAACTACTTAACTCCTTGACATGGGCACGACCTGTTTTCAAACTGTAACGAGCGCCGCGCCTGCATCTGGCCGGTGGCGGAGTAGGCTGTGTTATTACGCGCCACAATGAAAATATGAGGGTTTTTTGGCAGGAACATTATCAACATTTAATGATGGAATATCACAGTGGAGACTTCTGTGAAGGATTTTCAGTAGAGAGTACGCCCATCAATCGGAAATTTCCGCGTCTTTCAACCAGAAAATCACATCGTTGTGAAAGGGAACGTATTTCCAGCTGTGAGATTGCATCTATTTTCTCCATTTTTATCTATATTTCTGCATTCATTCGATAGCTTAATAAAATGACAATCTTCATACTAATTATGGTTTGGAGAAGACATTCACAGTACGTTCTATCAACGAAAACGAAGCTCCGTTTCCAGTTTCATAGGCGTTTTAGGCATCAAATAGTGAAATTTTGATTCCAAGAAAGCTTTTTCGCTACAGAATAACCGAATATCATTGGAGACTGACAATCTGCTCAATCGACTACTTTTCCAAGGCGATCCTGCGAAAATGGTGAGTACCGAGTAACCTTCTACTGTAAAAATTTCTCCAGACACAGTTTGCAAATTTCTCAGAGACCCGACTCCTCCTTGCATCTGTGAACATAAATAACTCGTAGAAATTAACATAGCCTGTGTGTGGCAACGAATACTTCCATCAATATCTGAGGAAGGGTAAGAGCTCCGAATTTTTGTTCTAACGTTTAAGTCGAGAAAACCAAAGTCATGCAGTGGAGATATTTATCTTATTGATGAAGATGGAGGACGATGACCATCGAGAACAGTAGGGCGGACAAGGAGGTCTCTAATCTATTAAAGGCGTCTTCAGCAGCCTCTGCATGTGATCACATTAGAATTTTTGAAGGTTTGAATTGGATGAAGCACAAAAAACTGTCTGGAGGACATTCAATCAAAAGAAATATGTGGAGGACGTACGGTGTGCATGTTCAGTGTCAAAATCACAATGATGATATGTGCTTATAACACGAAATAAAAAGTTAGTACTCATAAAACGATGGAACAAAGTCTCTCCTATATTTCAAAGAAGTTGAAATTCCAGAAGCGCACCAACAGTCAGAAGATTATTAAAAGTTATTGATAGAGTGACATCGCATGCAGTGTGCAGCACCATTTTTGGTAATCAAATTCAGCTTAATTCTAATCAATTTTTCATTTGCAATAACTAGGATAACTTCTGGAAATTAAATGACATCAAAACTGAAAGATTTTCACCGTACTGTTTGGTTTTTCAGTATGATATCTGATTGCAGGAGCACAAAGTGATAATGTAACTGATTTCTTGATTCATTTGTGGTAATGAGTAAAGACGAAAAGTTGTCACGACGAAAATAAAATACTTGAATTATAACTGAATATGAGTAAGATATGACAAAATTCAATAACAGTTTGAAATATCATCCTTTTGTTAGTACTTGGCCTCAGCTTTGAAAGCGCAATGTTTAGGCAGGAGGCATCATCATTGTTTCCACATAGCTTTATTGCAGTTTCTTCTATCATATTTCACTAATTACTGCCGGTGAAATTTCCTTTGGTCTAAATCGAAAAAAAAGCTGCCGAGTTAAAAAATTATTCAACGCCTCGTATTTGGCTCATAGAAGGAAATTAGGATTTATTGAAACATGCCGAAGTTACGATAGTCGGTCTTGGGAGTTTCTAAAAGAATAAACCAATATCAATTTTATCAGAGATCTACCTCATTGTCGCTACACCTCGCCGCACTCGGCGAGCGAGATTTCTGTATGCTGCACCATATTTCAACGTCGTTGTCAAGGGATTAATATTTAATGAAAGTCAGATGAAACACGACAAAAGTAACCTTGAGAGTAAAGCGCGATTTTATAGCAGTCGCTGCAGCACTTAGAAGAAAGATGTTCTAAAAAATCTACTATGACAGAGATCTACACTATAGAAGGAAAACTAAAAGTGTGAGGAAGAAACGATGTAGGCCTTGTGCTCAAGGTTTGAAAAGCATACCGATTACAGAAGAGTGTCGAAACGAAAATCATATTGAAACCAAACGATGACGCATATGGAGTAGACTTGAACTTTGGTTAACCTCTTTCGGAGGCTAGCATGTCATGTTCTTGCTTAGCCTTTCTCCAATCTGTGTATTATAGTGGATCCGTAGCGTCAAACGAGGGTAGTCTGCAGACCACGATTCGACCCAAAGTCACTCAAGCTATGGCCGTGATGTGGATCTCAAGTTAACTTTTCACTACTGCCTACTTCATTATTAATGACAGGGTACGACATGGAATAGTAGTTTTGTGGCTATATTTCACAGACTACTGTGTCATTATAAATGTAAGCAGTAAGTGGAAGCTAATATTATGTAAAATCTATTTAGTTGCTGAAGTTTCAGGTATAAAATACATTCAATACAAAATTTTGATACTCAATGTGAATGGAGAAAATAAACTGAGATGATTTAGCTAAGTTTATTATATCCATATCGTTGATGAATTACTAGTTTCCTACTACCATGACTTCTATTCCCTTCTTATCAGCATATTTTGTTGATCTTTGAAGCTGTTTAGATCTTCGTTGATCGATCAATGAATCACTCTCAGATAATGCTACAGCCAAAGGAATCGTTCCGTGGTGATTACGTAACGTAATAAACTTCTGCCTCATTTACAAAGACTGTCAGACGATTGATAGTAGGGACCAGACAAAACTACTTCAGAAGTCTAGGAAGATCTTGTGGCACCTCAGCGATACGACGAATCTAAGAAAGTATAACATCTGACCCATACGATCAATATCTGAGGGCTAAGGATCATAGTTTCTAAGCATATTCATAAGTCTCTATTTTTTGCTTCGTTAGCTTAGAATATATAAAACAAGAAATTCTTTGTTTAACCACTTTTACAGCGGTACTTTTATGTAGTAAATAAACAGCCAAGAATGCTGAATGGTATAGAAACTCAAAACCTCAGCTGCTAGATAAATCTACGTATCCTCCTTGACACGGACATGTTCTTACCGCCACACTAACGAAGTCGTTGTTTATCACTCTTTGTATTTTATCAATCATCATTTTTAACACCTCAAAATTAACAAAAAATGCTGTGACTCAACTTGTCGTGTTGGCTGATGACAGATAACGTGTTGTAGTGTAGAAAGAGTGCTGTGTAAATGAGCGTCGGTGGTGAAACGGTTCAGCACACGCTCCCGGAAGGGGTAGGATCTGGGTTCGAATCCCGGCTGACGCTAAGAGCGACTGATTAACGATTGTCGTGCGCTTGGCTTACTGCTATATATATATATATATATATATATATATATATATATATATATTGCGGAACAGTAGTTAGAGGTGCTCTGCGTTGCATACAAGGTTGATGGTTCGATCTCTCGCTCATGGCTCACCAAACCATCCATCCCTCCGGGGTCGGTTAATTGGTACCAGACAGGTCTCAGACTTGTTTGAGAGGATTAGCAGCACTGACTCGATACAGCGGGAGGCCACTGCGAGTCATTGTAGAGGCCACCTATGCATTCAATCACCTCAAACGAAAATAATAATTGAAGACGAATGCATGGCGCATCCCTCAGGGATTGACCAACGCCGACAGCTTTATCCTTCCATATATATGTATATATTTATATTATATATGTATATAAAGGGATAAAGGATAAAGCTCTTGGCGTTAATCAATCCCTGAGGGATGCGCCATGCATTCGACTTCAATTTTTAAATTCGTTTGAGGTGATTGAATGCATATCTGACCTTAACAATGACTCGCGGTGGCCTTCCGCTGAACCGAGTCAGTGCTGCTTATCCTCCCAGACAAGTCTAAGACCAGTCTGGTACCAATTTACCGACCCCGGAGGGATGGATGGCTTGGTGAGCCATGAGCGCGAGATCGAACCATAGACCTCGTGTGCGACGCAGAGCACCTCTAACCACTGCGCCACGTGCGCTCTGTATATGTATATATGTATATATATATCGCCTGAAGTTAATACATTCTGGCAGCACATTTCGATCCTTTCATGAGGTCTGTCGATTCCTGTATATTTAGAGGATCATATCTCCTTACTCGGAACTGAGTGAACCTATAGGTGCCGAGCTACTGGTGAGGCTGAAAGGGCGAAATACGCGTCTACCACTTTATATGTGCCATGATAGACTATATGAAAGGCTTAAAATTTGTCGTCACGATGTAATAGTTTCTACCGTGATCTGAAAATAGCCGATTGAAAGTGTTGAACTCTTTATCAATTTGCCTGGAGCGATAAAAGATTCCGACGACTAACTGCTGATCACAATAACGGCTATCACGACATCTCTAACTATTGGCGCTTCCCATAATTTCTTTCGCACTATTGTAATATCCAGTTTTTTTTCCTTACAAATCGCGTTGTTGCCAAAAGGCCGCTGTATGTTGGAGAACATTTTAGTAGCTTGAGACATAGGATAGGCTATTAGGGTACTAGCAATATACTAACAGCCAGAGCTGCCAGCTTACCACAGCTCAAGCTCAGTGCTTGATAGTACTTTTCTTCGATATTCTAGAATTGACAAGGTGTGCTTTCTGGGAACTGTTCTACAACAGGCGGACAATCAATGCTGACGTCTGCGGGACCAAACCCGGAAGTTGGCAGCAGCTATGCGATAGAGGCGTGAAAGTCACTGTGATCCTTCTACAAGATTACGCTCGACCTCGGGAAGAAAAGTTGCCTCGCCGCTTTCTGGAGGAGCTGGCTGGGCCACAGCTTCATATCCACAATAATGCCCTCATGCTTTATAGAATTATCGTCTCTTCGACCTCTGAAGCAGCGTCTGCGAGGAAAGAAATATGCCTACAAGCAGTTCAAAAGTGACCTTATCGACTTCTTTGGTCGCCAGCCTTCTTCTTTTTCGAACAAAGGCTTCCAATCAGTGTGCGGCAAATGATTACATAGCAATGATCTTGATGGTAATTATGTTGTTGGTTAAGTTATTTATTTGAATAAATAATCGGAACAACAAAGGTGTCGAAAAATGGAAGAAACAAGGAAACAACTCTCAGTTCCGCTTCCATCATTGCTTTGAAAAAAAAGACGGATTTGAAAGTAGTAAACAATATTATGCTGTTTCAAGTTGCTGTTTCAACTGTATATCGATAGTAAGCGATTATGTACAGAATACAGCAAATTCATGTTCTCCTTTTTCCTTCTAATTCTTTTTGAAAAGTACTATTGGTACGTAGAGTAACAACCCTCTACTCAAACTCTCTAAGAATTTTTTTTCAATATGGAAATAAACGAATAGATTTCCATGTTTAGCATTGCATGAAGTATTCCTGGTTACTATAAAACTGTATAAGACGCATGTTGCGCGGTGATCAGAAGTGCTCTGCATCGCACACAAAGTCTATAGTTCAATCTTGCCGTTATGGTTCACCAAACCATCCATCTCTTCGGGGTCGGTATGGTGCCAAACTTGTCTGTGAGAATAAGCAGCACTAACTCGATACAGCAAGAGGCCACCGCGAGTCATTGTGAAAGGCCAGATATGCGTTCAATTACCTCAAATAGTCAAAAATTGGAGACGAATGTATGGCGCATTCATCAGAAACTAATGAACACTAAGAGCTTTATCCTTTTTTGTTCTAAAAACTGTACACGAGTGCTGTGGGTTTGATATTTGCTCTGTTTGGTGTGGGGATGTGTTAAGCTCCTATTGAGCAAACGTTCTTATGATAAATAATAAAATGCAGTTATGAAACGAGCAGGTTCATTTCAAAATCATAAACTCAAGTTATGTCCGACTTAGTGTAAGACAAAGCTAAAATTAGCTTTAAGTCTGTACAGCACGTAGTTTCGATTATTCGTGCAACCGAAACTCAGTTTTATTCAACGACACTGCATTATGCTCATAATCCGGACCAATGAATTCGCCTTCAACAATCTGCACAAATTTCCCATTTTTCGTGTGAAGTTTGATGTTCCGAAAGTAAGCAGAACATGCAAACTTTACCTATGAGTTGGGCTCATGTGGGCGATTAACTCCACAATTGTATCATCAGTATAAGGCTGACTGAAAAGATTTCGAGCATAAAATGTTGCCGAATTTGAAGAAAAATAATGTTATTTCAATGCAGTCTGATAGAATATTTTAAGCCTTCTATGAAATTTGTTATGGCACTGCTAATGCAAGACGGACGTTTCGGGGCGAGTAGCCGAATGGTATGTGCTGCTGGTGAGACTTGTTAAGCAGCAGAAACGTAGGTCTACCAATGGAAGTGCTATAACCGATTTCACAAAGGGCTCAAAACATTCTAACATACTATTCTGAATTTTTGAGCAAGGCCTCAAAATAGTCGATTGAAAGGTTGGGTAATTTCAATCTTGAGCCATAGCTACCATATACTTTTGTTACACTGTTTTGTTGAGATATAATTAACAATAATCTTGAGAAGCCAGCATAATTGTTTCTCAAATGTTCATAGAAGGAATGACGTGCGTTTGCTTAACGAAACTTTGAAGGTAATTTGGAAATCTTTCCAGTGTTATCTTCATGGTTTTGATAGATGTCCTCATAGAAGCTTTTTCTAGTGCATGTCATCAATTGATGATACAGTATTTTCGTCAAGCGCCCGTTGACGGTCGTTAACGGCTTGAAATATTTTCCTTCAATTCTCAATTGGGTGTACAGGAACTCTCGCAAGAATGATGATCAATACTTTGTTAGAAAGCGATGTTGAAGCCGTCAGTCACGCTGTGCGCTAATGCGTTATTAATTTCAAAAACGAATAGAACAAAAATTCTGGACCATATTCAGTAGAACAGATATTTAGCTTGTTTTTACTGAGGCTTATTTGTTGATGCGTCAGTGGTGGAGGTGCCCCACAAGTGATCGTAGGCTGTATCCCACGATCTGAGCAAAGCAAACCCTATACTCTTCCAAGATCAGCGAATCTGCACCATAATTTCCTGAGAACTCAAGAGCACTTACCTGGCACAAGTTTTCTTATCAGTCTTTCATCGCTTTTCCAAACTTATCAGCAAATTTCTCAAAGATCCATCGATTGTGGAAGGATAGGGGGTTCGAGGCGTTAAATCGAAACATTGACCGACATGTGACATGTGGAAGATTTTGATGCAAAATACTTTCATAGAAAGTCACTAACAATGTTCAATTGGAAAACATTGACAAGTGCTCAGTTCTAACTGTTATAGAGAATTGCTCCGTTCTCGTATCTCAGAAACTGGATATTGTCGCAAACTAATTTCGACTTCTTTCGCAATCCGATGCCTTCTATGGCACAGTTATTGAGTTTGCTTTGGAATAAAACAAACTTACTAGTTCATGTGCCGATAATATCATAATTGACCAACATTGAAGCATGTGATACTTCGACATTCTTGGAAAATTTGAAGTGCATAGTTATATGAATACAGCATAACGCATTAATCGTGTCGTGAGGTCCAGCGTTTTCAGTTGAAAGGTATACTGCGAAAGTGATGAACCAGTGAAATTTTCAGCTATTACTTAATTTGTCCCGTACTCTTCCTGACTGCGAAAACTATCAGGTCGGTCATTCCTCCAAAGTCGGCGAACTGTTGAATCTATATGTTCTATTAAGTTCCTATTGATCCCTAAAGAAAAATCGCCTAAACAGAAGAATTGGAAACACTCCAGCACAGCTATTTCACGAATCCAGAGCTCATTTCCTCGATGAAAAATTGATGAGTTCACGAAAACGGAATTTCCAAGCAGCAATCAAACTCGTGGAAATTCAACCCCTTTCTTCATTAGCGTATGCTGGGCGAAACGAGTAAAAAGGGGGTGGGATCTGTCCAGCATATGATGATGATCCACCTACAACGATTTAAAAAACAGAAATCCTCCGAAATTATGTATGCGCATCTGAAGTAGTGGCTCCTTCCAGTCGCATACCATTCTGCTAACCAAAAAGTTAAAATGATATGTGGATACTGCTATTCGTTATGGTCGCCTCAATCTCTCTTGAGATACACAAACGACCAACGTCACATTTTTTTGTTTCATTCAAGTTTCTTTATAAGTTTTACTGATGTGTAGTTGATAAGAAAGTCGTATTTGTTGGGTAAGAAGAACTTGAAATTTTATACGTCAATCCGCCGCTAAGTTAGATTTTTATTCCAGCCGTAATCCGTTAACGTTGTTTGGTCCACAGATGCATCCTAAAAACAACAATGAAAGTGTTCAGAGTTTGTCTATTCTTTAGACCAAGCCATGCTT